ATTTCAGGCATCAGCACAAGCTTACTCATGAGATCCCGTACCGCTCTAATTGGCTCTGATACTATTGGGCGCTCCAAAGAACCAAAATTCGCTCCAAATGTCTCGGTAGTCAACTGCAGTCTGATAAAACAGTTATGATTATTCCGGTATTTCATGGATGCCATTTTAACGAATCTAATCCCATTCGCACTGTCATAACAATCGAGTAATTCGATTTCATTAAATTATTAAATTAAAACCAGGGATCGAGGACGAGTTCCAGTTTTGGTTTAGTTCGGCAGAAGAACAAAATGTAATGGCAAGAACGTTATCACAGAAGAGCCAAACGAGAACAGAAGTTTTAGAGCAGCTTGAACGGCAACAAAATTAGAACAAGAGGTTCTGGAACGTTCTCAAGAAGAACATAAGGAAAACGAAACTTTCGAGAACGCTTCCAATGAGAATATTAAGAACGAACCAGAACGTTTTCAAGAAAGATCAAATAAAAGTCTGGGCAACGTTCAGCTAGAGAACAAAAGCTTAGAGCTTGAGAGCTTAACGTTAAGAATGAGAAGGGCGTGATTGTTAATTTTAAGCCAGNTATGCCTCCAAAACCATTGTCTTTCGGGCCGAACTAGCGGGTATACAAGAAGCTGCAAGTAGACAACGTCTAATGTTGCCACAACAAATTTAATTTGCATCTACGCAGACAGTCGAGGGATGGAATTAAGACCGCGTGAATTAAGGTCGCCCTCTTACTTCTTCGGCGGCCTCATTTCACTTATTAAAATGAGTTATGTCTGCCCAAAAATACTGTGGTCAGCGTAGCCGGAGTTAGAATGATGAAGGTTCTTTTTTTAAGCACGGCCAAAAGCCGCCACCGCGGAAAGGTGCACTGAGCAAAAATACGGTGAATTGCGTAACCCGAGTTTACATTATCTTTGTCAAAATGCTAATTTTATCCCATTTTCAAATGCGTCCCCAGGGTTCGTTAGAGGGGCCAGAGAGGGAAAGGGCAACTTTTGTTAAATTCTCTTTCCAATGCGCGAAGTTTTAAATGCCACACCCCTTCTTCCTCCGCCCCTATCACAAAACCATTGTACACATAACCGCATATTTCCCAATTCATTTTTGGATCTTTTGGCCTAATTTCACTTTTTTATTTTAATTTTTTGATTGCGGTCTTAATACACGGGAACATAATTCACAGAGCCTCGACAGTCGCGAGCTGCCATAAGAGCACTTGTCTGCGTCACGATAAACTCGAAAACGGTTAGTTCGCTTTCTAAAGCTTGCAATTTGTGTACAGCTCGCTTTGCAAGACATTGGAACAAACCAGAAAACAAGAAAGCAGACCAGCTTGCTAGAAAGAGTACTTCCTTGCCACTTTCACTGGCCTGGAATAGATTAGGCTTGCAGCTCGCCATCTGCAAGCTGATGATAAGGGAGTTTATCCTGAACGAGTCAAGTCGGAAGTGGGAACACTCTGGTACATAAATGCAACACAGCCCAGCTGATGTGATCTGGTCATGGTGGGACATGAGATAATCGCCACACAGGCACTTTTTAGATTCTCCAAAAGCATTAGCATCTTAAATGTTGTATCTTGTAAATCTACTTAGGGTTCGAACGCACACTCAACCAGACACTCTAACTCTTTACGCGACATTTTTCAATTTTCAATTTATTTTATTGCATCCATTCGCAATACATAAACAACCACTTCTATGTATTATTTAATTTCTATAAAAAAAAATTCCACAAAATCAATTAAAATATTTAAAATTAAGATTTTTAGATAATTTGTATATTAATGTCTTCTATTGCATTTTTCATATATTTTTAGCTTGGCCTTAACACACATGTACTGCCAGTGACGAGTAGCTTTAGTTCCTTGGAATGGACTACGATTATTATTGGCTGCATTTTCGGTTTATTTGTACTATATATGGTCTTAAGATTTGTATTTTTTTATTTGATACCAAAAGTGTATCACCGTCTGACATCATAGCAAAAACTAGATATGTATGTATTCATAAGTTTATTATATACTACTTATGTAGATTAAGTAATCATTTTTTAAAGTATATTAATAATTAAGCTAATTAGTGAAGAATCAATAATAAACTAAAAAAATGATTAACAGTAAAAAGGCAGCATTTAAACACAACACTCGGAAGTTTGGATCTACATAGGAAAAGGAAGCGCACAGTTGGAAGCTTCCGCAACTGGTTTGTATCTTAGCTGATCGTGGTTTGCGACACAACAGCTTTGTGTTCAAAAAGCAAAGTAGAGTAGCGCACATGTCGACAAAATACAGTTAACTCTTTCTTACGCGCATAAATTTGACAGCGCCAAAGCTCCAACAAGCAAACAGCTGATTAAGGTTTTTTTCTGTTGCTAAATACTTGCGCCAACTGATCATTGGCGCATTGCACACCCCAATTGCCTCCACTGACGACGACTGCTGCTCCTATTTCACAAACCACTCACTCACACACACCTGTGCGCACTTTTTCTACTCTCGCCGCTGTTAGGCGTTCGCATTAGACAGCTTACCATTAGCCCCACATATGTAAGTCCAGTCTTCTAGCCAGTGCCGTCAGTGTAGTACGGTTGTTTATGACGCGGCGCATATTGTGACTAGAAAGTGTTACAAAAAAAAATAATAATAACAAAAGTAAAAAAATAAGCAATAAATGCAGCAGAGCGCAACCGCAGTGAGTTCGGTTTCTAAAGCTTTTTTTAATTTCCTTATTTTTTTAATTCCGTTTCTTATTATCATCAGTTGCTTAGCACGCGAACGCGCGCGGCTTTAAAGTCGCCACACTTGCCAATTGTGGATTCTCATCTTTCTCGGGTTTTGCAATTTCCTCTGACACTTGCGTTCTTGACTTTTTTATTTTGCTTCCACCATTCATTTTATCACCAAACGAAAGGAAAAAAAAACAATAAAATTTAATGTACGAATTCGCGGCTTAGAGTGTGGATTAGGGCGAAAAGCAAGCATGTAGGTAAATAGGAAAAACAAAAAAACACTCACGTTTGAAAGAGTAGAATATAAATTTTTCGTTCGCTTTATCAAAAGTCGACAAAGTACGAAATTTATAACGAAAGCGCACATAAAAAAATTCATTTTGAACGTTGCAAAACTTGAGCTCACTCGAGCGACGTGTTGGAAAGTTCGTCTGACATCTTGCGTCCGTTGTCTTCTCACAGCCGTATCGCCGTCACCGTCGCCAGCCGCCAGCCGCCAGCCGCCAGCACAGCTGAGATCGCAAAATAAAGATTGAGATCAGTGCTGAGAAGGCAAGATCATCGCAAAAGTCATCGAGCAGGTAAATGGGAAACCTAAAAAGCTGATAGGCATAAAGCGAGCGCATTGTTGCTTGCTGTCGCTGTGAGAAAGCTGTGGAATTGACAAAAACGAATGTGTAATAGATAAGTGAAAAATAGTGAAGGTTGGGCGACAATTAAAAAATTTGAAATAAAAACAAAACTAACCAGTGGAAAAAGTTGGAGTCGCGCAAGTAGTAGATACTCGTCGAGTGCAACAGACATCACAAAAACATAAAGCAAACACTTTGCTTCTACGACAATAAACAAGTAATACGAGTATAATGGTTAAAAATGTGAAAAATATCACAAAAATATAACAAAGACACAATCTTAAATAACAAGTAAGGTCACGCCATAAGACGGCGGCAAGCGCTAAGCTAAACGTACTCATAGAGCCGAAGCAAGTTTGCTTATTTAGCAGAGCGAAACCGTGAGCGCACATCAACAGCTGTTTCAACAAAATCAAACAAGATTTCTATACGAAAAAAATTCAATTACTTAAATGTTAAAGATCTCTATGCGCACAGCGTAAAAGTGAAGATAGTAATTCAACCAGCATTTCTAAAAGCCATATACCACATCTGCAATAACAAAAACAACTGTACACCTCTCACATGCCTTCGCCGACTTTGAAGCAGCAGCAACCGCCACCTCCGCCGCCACCACCACCATTACTACCACATCAACTCTCCTATCAAATTCACATACAACAGCCGACACAACCACAACAACAAAATAGCTTTTATAGTACGAAAAATAAGAAATTGTCAACGAAGTTGAAGTCATCTTCATTGGATAATGAAATCTTCCTGCAGAATCGTAAAAATAATAGTCAAAATACCATGGATTGGCTATTGTCACCACATGGTTGTGCCACAATACCACGTGCCGGTTCTACTTCCTCTTTGGCGAGCACTGTAACAGCTAGCAATTATCAGGAATACAAAGCGGAAATCATAAATCAGGTGAGTGGATGATATGGTAAATTTTTTAGTGCCATGAGCAGTGTTGCCATATTTTTTTTTTTAACTAAGCTGTATTTTCAACCAAAAAATTGTAACCTTCGAAACCGAAAGGAGTTTATAAAAAAGTTTTTTTTTTTATTTCATTAACATAAACCGTTTAAATTACACCGTGCGACAGCCGTAACCAGCCCGGACTATGTTAACATTTTCTGAAAGTATATCTATGCAGTAGTAAAACACTCGATGGATTTGCAAAAGTTAGCTCGCTAGCTTTATTTTATGGCCTACTAAAGTTTTCATTTACCGGCCTAAGCAGTTTTCAAAAATGTGCAAACAATTTTTAAAATAAATGTCTGAGCGAAATTAAAAGTTAAAATTTCTTGAGAAATATTTTCGTAGAACATTTTAAACCGTCAGTTCCCGCCTGTAGGTGTCGTTTTGATCCATATTCCAAGAAACCCCTCAAAAAGCAAACTTGGAAGGTTATGAGAGGTTATAATGTTCTAGATAATTATTAGGAAAATTTTACTAAGGTCTTCTTAGGCAAAGTCTTCATGTCACCAATATGAAAGTTTCTAAAAATTAAAATAAAAACAGTATTTTTTCAAATTTGAATTTTCGAAAAAACTTTGATTTGTACTAGGAGGTAATTTAAATTCCTTTAAGCTTGTCTAAAAAACTATGAATGGACAAAATTTTAATAAAACTCAGTCCATAGAAAAATAGTGTACAGGTCGTTAGCGAATGCTTTGTGTGCTTATAGGATATACGAGTGGTTTATAGAAACAGGAGTTGCCTTAAATGGTCTACTCAAGAAACTCGTTGAGTGGTAAGAGATGCGCGGGTTCGATTTCTGGTCGCTCGGCAGGCAATAGCAAACACTTGAGTGCAGTTCTGCCATGAAAAAGCTTCTCATAAAAATAAAATTGTCATTCAGAGCATGACAAGTAAAGCAGGTTCTACCTTAGTGAGTTCCGCAAGCTCTAAAGGCCCGTTTACTTTCATGCACAAGTTATTAATTGCATTCCCAGACGCCATTATCGAGCAGTCGGCAGCATAAGAGATGAACGAGACTCCCTCAGGTGGTTGAGGGAGCTTTGAAATGTAAGAGTTAAACAGTGGGACCACTCTCCCCCTGTTTTTCAGATGTCTGGAATAATGAGAGTGGCCATTAACAGGTTGAGGACCTTGGTGAGGTAATCCACTCCCGCAGCGCAGGGCCCAATTTTTCAGCATCAGCAGGGATATTCCGCCGGATCCTATGGCTTAGAACGCTTTCGCCTTCCCGATGGCTAGCTGAACCTCATCGCTGGTAAAAGCAAGAGGCGCACTTGGTGTTTACAGTTTTTCAGCCTTCTGGTCACTCGACGTTTGGCTCTGTCCACCGTAGGATGCAGCGTGAATTGTCGGCTGAAGTAGCTCGCGCATCACTCCGAATCCGAAGAGGTGCGGTCACCTTCTCATAGCTTTCGGTTGTGGCAAAATGTTCAGATTTTTCGACCTCAAGCTGTGCCTATATATACTTGCTATCCTAAGTGGAGTAATACACAAATTCATAAGCTCTAAGGACAAAAATGTCCATGATTCCACAGGTTCGGAAAAAAGTAACATAGCGAAAAACTCTAGTTTACTTAGCCAATCAATTATATGTCGAAATATATTTCAAAAGCTATTGAAAATTAACGGAACTGATTTTTGGCTGAAATCTTCTTATTTTTTCCATTTTTGTGTACATATATATGGTATGTATGAAAATAAATAGATGTTAACGAGTTCTTGGAGCTCATAAGGGCAAGCCTTATATTTAAATATTTGTTTTATGTATAAAAAAGATAATTAATTTTCGTTGACGAATTTAAGCTACATACTTTTACATATATATGTACTCACTAACCCTTAAATAGAGACGCCCCAAATATTTTCTACGCACAAGAAGTAGCATTCAGTTAACAACTTTATCTAACCGCACCTTACCAGTATAGGTAATCAAATAAATAAAGTCCTTCTCGTAAGCACTTAAACACATCGCACCTTAAATAATTTTTGATAAAATTAAATATCCAAAATTATAAAGGTATGGTTGAAGGACAGTTGGACTACCAAAAAAAACACAGATATGTATGTATGTACATAAATAATCGAAACATGCTTAAAGTTCTCAACAAGAAGTTACAAATACGATTTAAATTAGAAATACATATGTAAAAATTCTCGAAAGCGATTAATAAAGTGTATTTATAAATGTACGCTTAAAAGTAAATTATCAGAAAATTGATTTGAAATCGTATTCCAAGTATAGTACATATACAAGTTCATATATAAAAAACATATGTATTTGCATTAGGTTGCCTCGACAAACAAAAAAAAAAAACAAAAACAAAAACCGCTAGAATACTGTCGAAACTTTCCTCTGAAACCCGATATTTATTAGTAAATTTTGTATGAAAAATAGAATTCTGCTTCAAATATTTTAACAGATATAAATTAAAGAAAACCACAACATCTTACACGATTATCAATTGTGAACATATTTAATGTATTCTGATGGTCCAGTTTTTAATGAAAAAAATTAGGTTTCAATTGTAAAGGACATAGAGTCTAAACAAGTAAAGCTTATTTTTTAGATTTTTAAACCAAAAGGACATGTTAGTCCTAACGACTTTACAAAGGTGCCGTTAACTTGTAGAACAGAATCCACGCATGATTACACATTTTCAAATGCAACTATACATTCCTAATCCCAACTTTGCTCTTAGGAAAATATAAACATTTTATTTTTTTGTAGGGAGCACGAGGACAGCGTCGTGAATTATCGTTACTTATTCGGGACTTTTTTCAAAATCTTGCGAAACTCTCCCTGACTTAAACGGTGCATTCCTAGCAATCCGATCTTTGCTATTTAGGAATTCTTAGGAAAAATAAACATTTTTTGGAGCGAGCGCGAGTCACCCTAATCTACATACATATGTATATATGAACACATGATGACTTTTGGTACGTGCCTTCTTATGAGTTCCATAAATATAAACCAGTTATTTAATCAGCCTGTAGACACCGGCAAGCGTCTGATTAGCATTTTACGGGTAAACATTAAAAAAAAATAAAAATAAAAAGTGTAATAATACATACATATACTTACATGCATACATATTGATGTAAAGTATGTGAATATTTAAATTCCGAGCACTTCCTAAAAGCAAGCGATTCATCTTTACGTTAAACTTAGCTCAAATGTGTGAGAAAATATATCATACATGTGTATGTATGTATGTTTGCAGATATGTGCATACCACATTAGAAGTGAGTACTCATACATACTTAAATATTTGCATACAATAGTAGCAAATAAGCGATATTCGATCACACTTAACTCGAAAGAATTAGATGCTGCCTGCTATTTAAATGTGTCAATTCAATTTACAACTACATAAAGACTTTCACAGATCGCGAGTATATGTACATACATACATTAGACCGTACCACCTTACAAGCAAATAAAATAAAAGTCGCCTTACATCACTGAGTGTAAAGTATTTTGGCAAGGTAATTTCGAGAAAAAAAAACTGTTGGTCGTACCTAGGCGTTGTCTTTTTACATTTCCCGGTGACACCTATACCGAAAGAACCGCTGTTTTTTTATTTAGCGCTCAAAGTTTTCCTTTTTCTCGTGGAAATGATTCAGAATTCTTTAAAATCAATACTTTTCGATCGAACGACTCCGTTTCGCTTCAGCACACTTCCAATAATAATTTTTTTTTTTTTTTTTAGATTGGCGCTTACACATATGTTAGTGTTTGGCCGAGCTTCTCCTCCTTCCAATAATAATAGCAACTGTTTATTTTGCATTTTTGGGATTTTTGGAGAACTGTTAAAAAATAGTTGATATGGAAAAATTATTAAATAAACAATTGGGTACTATTATTACAAGTCTCCTGAAGAGAAACACAGTTTTCCGATTGGAAAATATTGACTTTCCGAAATTCTGTTTCTACGGAAAATAAACCTATATAAAATAAAAAAAAACAGTGGTGCAGAACAATCCTAAGACGTGAGAACATTATAATTCCCACTTTACTTTTTTTACCACCCTAATGTGCTAGCGGCAATAATTGTTTTTAATAGTTCCACTAGAATAATCAAAAGACTCCCTTAGCAAAAGTTTAATGTTAAATATACAGTGGTGGTACGTTAGGTTGATAAGGGGAATGTGTACTTGGGTTGTATGTACTTTGGAACAAAAAATTCACACTTTAAAATCTACCTTCAAATGCCTAAGATATGACGGAAAATGTTAAATAAAGTGGCCCCTATGTTGGACAAGAAAGAAATAATAAAATTTCGAACTTTTTTTTTTGTTTGCTTATAAGGTGATACGATCTAATGTACAGACACATAAAAATATGATGAGTTATGTATAAATTATATGCAAAATCGAATCAATTGCGCTACAGTTCAAATGGGTGTTGAGAGGTGGCGTTAAGAAAAAAAAAAAACAAAATAAAAAAAATTAAATTGCAAATAGAGCGAGATCTCTGAGGTTAATATTTTTATTTCAATTAGATAATTGTTTTATATTTATTTTCACACTACAAAGTATGTGTATGTGCGCCTATGTATGGATGTGTGTACATATGTACATATGCATTTACAAGACCGCGACTTCATCCAACGCATACAACTGTATTCGCACATAACGGTCATATTTTGATAGATGTACTACATATGTATGTATGCATGTAGACGTGAGACAACCCAAGGTCAAGCTTATTGCCGACAGCTTTTTGTTAATGGGGTGATGCTGTTGCTACGAATTGTCAATTGCATTTGTTGATTGTTATGGATATTTTGCTGTTTTAATGTCGCCGATTTTGTGGCTCAAATTATGTATTTATTCTACTTGTTTATAGTAATTTTTTGTTTGCGTGTCGCATGTAATTGCTGTATATGAAACAGAGACGTAAACTAATGACAGCTGGCCTGAGTAAAAATAAATTTAGAAGT